TCTCAGTTTGATACACAAGGCTTTACATTATGTATTGAAATATGAATGTGCCCCTTGTTGTTTTAGTCTGCATGTGGGAGGTTAATATCCATAAAGCAAAGTGACAACAGTGAAGCAAAGCAAGGCCCCTGGGACATAAAGAAGTATTGATACAAAATGTAGACCCTCCTCCTAAAAAATATTTCAGCAGGACATAAAAGACTACATGACAAAATAAACATAACATACATTATCTTGGATGGACATCTGTGATGAAAATTATTTCCCTTTTTTCTGGGACATAATAGCAGAAGTATGTAATATCTGCCATGAGGCATTGTCATATTTAATCACATTTCACAAGCTATTGTTTCTGCACAAAGCAGTACTTTTCTAGTACTACAGGCTATTTGGATATGTCTCACAAAACTCTGCAAGATATTTACTCATTGAGAAGTGTATGCAATGCCTGGATTAGAGGAATTTGATAATCTTGATACAAAAGAGCCACTGAATGTCACAAGGAAGAGCTGAAGGATGACAATACAGCTATGTGTTTAACAATTCCAGTTAAGATAATCACAGTTCATCATTATAATTGTGAGCTAACTGGATAATATAAACTAGGGAAAGATGTTGAGTCTTATATCGAATAAAACATGCTCAACTAGCCTGGAGAAGCTATGTACTGAAACATGCTTTGAACTGAGATACCCACAAAATGTGATAGGGATTTACAGTAAAAGAATTAAGCGGTTCAGAAATTCGAAACAAATCCAGAAATGTAGTCTGGAAAGTCATTCTAAGGAAAACATTATTCTGTCAATCTCCCTTGTTTTCATCTTGAAATTTCGTTCTCAGATGACTGCATTAAAACATTGTCTCTGTTAGAACTACACATTTTAATGCTGTGGATATTCAGATAATGGCAAGTGGATTTGACCTTAAAGAACTTATTACTTCAATCCTCTTTTTATTACACAAGTCATTGGCCTGCTTAATTTCAGCTCAGCAAATCACTACATAAATATATAGTAGGTTTTCTACTTAAACAGAAATGTGTTTTGAATTTTTGAAAGAGAGGCAGCATTTTCTTGATTAGGTTTAATGATATAATATACAGATCGTGTATGCCAGTTGAATTTCAAGTCTGAATCTACAGAAATGTAAAGTGGTGGCTTATATATTTTACATGCAAAACATTACATTAATATCACATTGATGTTTTATAGGCAAACATCTTGAAAAGTCATACAAGAACCAATAGAAACTAAAGAAATCCATCGCTTTTTTCTATATGTCTTACATTTTGCCTGGGGCTGGATTACTTAATTGATTCTTATTATTTTCTATAGAAATTAGTTAAATTTCTTCACAGAACCACAGAATTGTCTAGGTTGGAAAAGACCTTGAAGATCATCCAGTCCAACCATTAACCTAACACGGACAGTTCCCAACTACACCAGATCCCTTAGTGCTGTCAACCCAACTCTTAAACACCTCCAGGGATGGGGACTCCACCACCTCCCTGGGCAGCCCGTTCCAATGACCAACAACCCCTTCTGGAAAGAAATGCTTCCTAATATCCAGTCTACACCTTCCCTGGTGCAACTTGAGGCCATTACCTCTTGTTCCACAACTTGTTACATGGTTAGACTCATCCCCAGCTCTCTGCACCCTCCTTTCAGGGAGCTGTAGAGGGCGATGAGGTCTCCCCTCAGCCTCCTCTTCTCCAGACTAAACCCCCCCAGTTCCCTCAGCCGCTCCCCGTACGACCTGTGCTCCAGACCCTGCACCAGCTCCGTTGCCCTTCTCTGGACACGCTCGAGTCATTCAATGTCCTTTTTGTAGTGAGGGGCCCAAAACTGAACACAGGAATCGAGGGGCGGCCTCACCAATGCCGAGGACAGGGGTCAGATCCCTTCCCTGTCCCTGCTGGCCACGCTATTGCTGACACAAGCCAGGATGCCATTGGCCTTCTTGGCCCCCTGGGCACACTTCTGGCTCCTCTTCAGCCGGCTGTCAATCAACACCCCCAGGTCCCCCTCTGTGATTCAGAGCTCTTGTGAAGTTATTACTCATTGATCAGAGAAGACAGACATTTTGTATTGCTTACACATATTGACTATGCCATTAAGCTTGGATAGAGAGGTTCAAGCCTCTCTGTGTCTCCCTGACAGAGAGGGTTATGGTATTCCCATCTGTAAGTCTTCAGAAATCGTGAGTCAGACTATTAAAAAGTCACAAGACAGTCCTAAAACAAAGACGTAAAGACCAGATTTTGGGGTTGTTTTTAATCTGTAATTTTCAACTCTTTATGGAGTACTCAAGTAATTTTTTCAAGCTTCTGGAACCATGGAGGTCATAAGGCAGAGAAGAGAAAACAGGCGCTTGAGTGGGAGGACTAGAGATACAGCTGGCAGTGATGATTCAGTCCATATGCGGATTGTAAGACTTCATGGGATGAAGAGACTTCTCTGATGATTTGCAGACAGACCTTGGACAAGAAGATCCAAAATGCCAATTTTTTTTGAGATAGGATTAAATTTTGAATTTCAGTTATGGCAGAGTATGAAAAGAAAGGAATGTCAGAAAATCTCACAAGAAAAGTTTTAAAAGAGATATCTAGGAGTCAGAGCCCAGAGAGTCTGACATGTACAAGACCGGAAAAGACAGCACAAGCAAGTCTAGGGACTAATGGAATGACCTGCAATTCTCTAGCAGACACTTAATGAGCCACCAGAAAGTAATGTTATTCCCCTTCTTTACAACAGAAGAACTATGTTGCTTTTGCCCCATAGACAAGACAGAAACATGAGGTTAAGAAATGGGTACGCTGACATTGCTAGGTGACTTCCGCAGCATACTGTCTGTACTGGTTTCAGTCTTGGGTCCTCTGTTCCTCACTGTTATTTGCTAAATATCTTCAAAAGGATGGATAATATACTAAAAATTAAAGTGGAAGTTATTAATCTTTGCTGTTTGGTATCAAGACAGATCTGTCATAGACTATGTAATGTTCTTCTGTAATAGAAGAATTAGGAAATTGGTAGAGTACTCAACCATATTTTTCTTTGAGAAGTTATCAATTAATCTTTTATTTGTCAAAATGATCTCTGGAAATTTTTTATAAATATACTAATTTTTTTGAGCCTAGACTTGTTACTTTTTAATTAATTTATTACTTTTTGTATACCTAACAGGATTTTGTTACTTAAATTTTAGCTGCATCATTAAGTTTGCCCTGAAATAACCCGATGGCTGTAACATAGTCTATATGTGTTGTAAACCTGGAAAACAAGAAGTGGAAAACATCTTTTTACACCACAGTCAACAAAGTAAATTGCCAGAAAGGAAGCTCTTCTTTGGAACATACAGCATAAGTGGTGGCTGGTACTGTTCAGTTTAAATTTATTCTTGTTGAATGGCTCCAAGTCATATCATCTCAGACGTTACAAACAGTATTATAAAAAGGAACAGAGCGTCGGTCTCTTCCCAATAAAGAGCATAGTCTTTAAAGTGTTTATGTTTCTTCCACTGCTGGGTTAGACTGTTGTTTCTTTCAACTGCCTTGCAGGATGTAAGGGGTGCAGTAAGTGGCCCCTGGCTGCTGGACCTACAGAGGGGAGACCTGAGAACAGATACACCCCACAGCTGGACCTGCTTGCTGGTAAATCCAAACTGACTATGCCTTTTCTCTGTTGTGTATGTCCTTCAGTGGCTGCTGGGTAGCCTGATTCTCACTTTGCAAATGGAAGTATCTGGCTCAGAGGAAAATCTCTTAATTAGTTATCAGCTAACCCAAGGCTGCTCTGCAGTGCTCTGTTTCATCTTTGTCTTTTTTTGGAGGGAGGGCTGGTTACTTTGCAACCTTTGTGATTACCTGTATTTCAGTTATGTCAGTTTCTGTCTTTAGTTTGTGGGTTTTCTAATCTGATTCTTCACTGAATATGTGAAAATCTTTTTGAAATATGTGAATGTTCTACATACAGCCATTAAATACGAAAGCTGAAATTGTTAGCACAGCAATACATTTTGAAAGAAAGAAAAAAATGGTCAAAATATATTCTTATCCTGCAGTTTTTCCTAGTAGTCTTCCCACTGGCAGGCATGCAGATTCTTCACCTCCTGCCACAAACCTTTGGCATATTCCACTATCCTTTCCTGTTCTCCATCATAACAACCATGCTCCAACAGGGCTGTGATGTGGTTTTGACTTCTTCATTTGATATTAATACATTAATGCATTTGTCAGTGTGATTTTTGAGAGGTGGTGTGACTATTGCCTTATTCAACTCCTCCAATAAATCCAGATCTGCACCAAAGCCATCCCTCCCAGGACCTTCCCCAAACCAGCCTTCTCGAACCTAAGTAGCACAACCCAGTTACCTGATATGGAGATAAAGAGGACAGATTTTTAGTTTTACTACTTTGAACAGACTGTATAAACTTTTGGAACTAGGATGCTAATTCACATTAATCATCCAAACATTTTCATGCATCCTTATTGTTGACTGACTGAAATAAATTTATAACTCTTTGAAATCCCTTGACAGCAAGAAGGTACTTGGTGCGCAAATAACAACTGATGTGTCTCCTGTATAATCAAGCAGAGCTGGCTGAATAATGGGGAAATGCATTAGCCAAAAGAAAGAAATCTCTGCTTTTTTGTGTCAGAATTACTGGTATATTTACCTCCAATTTTTTACTAGATTTGTACATCTAGGAAAGTATGTCTATTCTGAGAGAAAAAGAAGAAATAAAACTATTTAATGCAACAAAACATGGTAGTAAGGTAGCATTAGCATATACAATAACTGGGAGGAAGCAGGATGGGGAGAAGCTCAGGAGCATTCAGGCAAGGCAGAAAGCACTGGGGTTTGCTGTTCATGTAAACAGCAGACACTGCTCAGGATAGATGGCATTATGGTACTTAGTGTGAAGTTGAAACTTGCAGACCTCAGTGATGCATCTCAAGCAATGTATCAGACTATACTCAAAATAGTAAACAAAAAGAACTGGTAATAATTTGTTGGTATTTATTAGCAACTGGCATCAAGCTTCTGAACAGTAACATCAGGAAGACAAATGTAATCACTTCGGTGGAAAATACATTTGAGCATTAATTTTTACACTGTTTATTGCTCTTCTAGAGGTTGTCTTAGGCTTATTTAAAATATTAAATTATTGATAACAAATTAGGACATTTTTACACACATCATCACCATCTTAATGTCCCTTCTTTAGAATATGTACAGCCTAAGAGCAGCTAGAAGACTGCATTCCCTGAAAACCAAAAAAGTTAACCCACCTAAAGAAAGGAAAAAAAACCCCAAACACTGTTACATGATTGATGGTAATTAGAGAACAAATTACTTTGATCTGTATTCTTGGAAGTGGTCTGAAATACTATTTTTGACATAAGATATAGGAAAGTACCACTCATCAGCTCCCAGCTGCTCCTTTCTCAGACAAGCTTCTGTATTCAAGCAACCAGACAATCACGGCAAATGTTTGGTATTGAACTCCAAAGGGAGGAACAGACACACTACTTAATGCAGTGGTTCCACACTGTAGATGGCAGCATGACTTCTTTCCTCAGTACATGATTCCTCATCTTAATTTTTCACCCCACCTGGGGTTCAGTCTGGTCTTCTCTTTCCACTCATCCTTCCTTCTGCCTGACGTTGGGCTCTCCATTGTCCTGACTCACTGGCTTATGCAGCTGTGCTCCCAAACCATTCCTTGAAACCACCTGGTTTGAAGAAAAAGAAAATGCCACAATCACCACTTTTCACAATGAAAAAATCAAAAAGTATGCTTTCCTTGGCTCTCTCACACAGTCACTAGTATTGTTCTTTTCCTGTGCCTATAATAAAAAGGCATTCTAAGTGCTAAAAGCTGTTGCCTTTTTGCCGAGTTTCTTGAAGCAAAATGACCATGGTATATACAGCGAATAATGAATAACACTGGATTGAAATTCATTTGGACAATTACACATAAATACATTAATGGAAATCACATAATTTCCCAGAGAGTTTGAAACACAAAAAATAGGGAAAATACTTGGCTCAGTAGAGGAATTTCTTATCCAACTCTAATAGTAACACATATAAGAGATTAGTTTCCTCTGCTGAAAGCTCTTCTGCAGTGGTAGATCTGTCCTTTTCCTCCCCTGTGAAATATGGAAATGTGCCTATGAAGATTTGTGAAAATAAACAGCCTCCTTTGCCAAGGAAAACATAAGTTGAAATGTCTCGGGTTTAGATCTATATAACTTATAACCCATCCCCTCCAGAAATCTGTATTTATTTTTCTTAAAGACATGTGAACTGTAAAGCAAGGTACTGTTTAAATGCATTGTTTAAATGGGACTTTCATTTGTTAGTTCACTTGAGGGCTTCTTGAGGGAGTTGGCTGTAAATTGCTATTGGCAAACCTTAAAAGATGGAAGGGAAAAATGTGTTATTTATTGAGTGTTGATGGTGTGTTTAGTCCTACACAACAGAGGGAGCAAAACATACCATTTCCCAAGAGGGATACTTGATTTATATTAATTGATCTAATACAGGCACACAGATTTCCTATGGAACAGCAAAAGGCCTGGCTTCAACAAGTATAGGGTGCATGGTAGACATTCAGTTTATTGTGGATCATCTCTAGAAAGTGTGGTGGAAAAATATATATTAAAGAGGGTTTTGAAAAGGCAAAAGCATAAAGGGAAAAACAGAGATCTAGAGGGAGTAGAAGACAAAAACTCCACTGAGAGAAGACTTTTCAGTTACCCAAAAGTTGCTGAGTATTGAACTGTTCTTTAAAAAGCAAAAACATTTCAACACTCTGGTAGTAAGCTTTGTTGCTCCATGATTTACACATCTCTTTTAGTACTGAGCAAAGGGACATATATTAAAAATGCATATATTTGCATGGATCTATATTTATTAGTGTAAAATTAAAGGGATTTTTGAAAGTATACTGGCTTTGAGCCACTCAGACTTCCAGTTTTGGAATGACTTCAGGATTCCTGACTCTCCTTTGCATGTATACTCTCTCCTTAATGCCTTGCTCTTTCACACATACCTTTTTATAGTGAAAGAACAGCAGGAAATTAATGCAATAAGGAAAAATTGATCTGTAGGAAAGCAGTGATTGAGCATATGTGAGAAAAGATGAAAATCTTCCTGCATGTAAGAGATTTTATTTTTCCTATTTATGTTTATATAATACAGACTGGCCCCTCCTTTACTCTTTTGCCAACATTGTTCCTCTAAAATTTGATTTCAATTTTCCCATCACATTTTCAGATTTTTGCTGTTCCATCAAAGAGCCCACAGACTCTTCCTCTTACTCAGAAAAAACCTCCCAAAGTTTTCTGAGAACACCTCTCCACTTACCAATCCCTTTTCCCTGCCCTGAGTTCCCAGTTTCATGGGGACTCTGTGGGTGAAAAGAGTTCATGGTTATCTGCAGTGCCCAGCCAAGGGCCAGGCTTGACTTTTTAGGGACAGAAGTAAAAAGGGAGCCACCTACCCATCAGCAGCTCAAATAGCATTTTGGTATGGTTTCCAGAATGAGATACAATAATTGCCAGACCAGAGCATCTTTGCTGGTCCATATGGATGCATGCCATGGAAAATGCATTAAGAAAAACTACAGACAGACTAGGTCTGAAATGTACTTTTTACGGTCTGTGTGTCTTTAATGCTATTTCTTCTGTGGTAGATTTTCTGTGATATATTTATTCAAATGTGCACACAAGATATGGCAAGCCAGAAGTTTAAGGACCTTGCTTGTTTTCTGACTTTTGCTCATAAGGAGAGTGAAAAAAAAAAGTTTATGATTTCAGGTGCTACTTGAACTATACAGAGTAGCTACAAACCTTTACATTAAAAGTCATCAACAGAGAAGGGCTGAGTCTGCATTGCAATCTAATCAGTTTTAGGATTATAAAAGAAAAGACAAGATGAAAGCAAAAAGCTCTACACTGTTTCTGCATAAACATCTACGTCTCCTTGAGCTTTACAGATTTTATGTTCAGGCTGAGGATTAGTTTAAGTGAAAAAGATCAGAATGAGATGCTGCTATGGTAGGTGGGGGGAATCTAGCCACACTGTGGATGTGAGTTCTGGTGAGCTTTGGTATCTTTCAGTTACATGACATGAATTATGACATGTTGGACAGCGTTTGTGGTTGGGAGGGAGAAGACCTCTATCTAGCTCTCCTGGTACCTTGGTAAAGCCATAGCTGTGTTGCATGCATCATTAATATTGCACAGGAGCAGAACTAAGAGACATAATTCATCTCATGGTGCTGGTTGTTCTACAGCCACAGAAAGAAAGGCCATGCTCCCTGGTGCTTACCCACTAAGGAATTCATTTGTCTTCCACCCTAATGCCTTCACACGACCTAACAAACCCAGGAGACCTCCAGTGTGACCAGAAAGAGGTGCAGGCCTCTGGGTGCTGCAGTGATAATTACCATTAACTGATGAGCAGTGGTACTGGGATTAGCTTGGTATTACCTGCAGATACAGACAACAAGGATTTGAGAAAGGGGAGGGAATGGTGTTCATTCTTCTGCAGCTGTGACTCTTCAAAGTGTCCAGCTTTGCAGAGTTTCCCGTACAACAATGGGGTGGGTAAACTCCTATTTTGCCTAGGTGCTTCTGGTCTTCAGTCAGTGTTGAGGTTCAGTGTGCTGGATGAGACAGTCAGGTGTGGAAGAACCCGGACAAAGGAATTTAAAGACACAAGAAGAGAGATGAAGGCCAGGAATGAGGATACTGCATGCCAGTCACTGATTGCCAACTGATTGGTACACTTAGTTCAGCCTTTCTTGGACTGTTTTTGTTTATAACAGTGGCCAAGTTAGGGAAAAGGGTTGGGCTGGCTGGACAATATTTTATTGTGAGGTTTTGAAATTTATTATCATTCCAGTGCAGAACAAAGTCTGTGACTTGTAACATAAACTTAATGAAAGTATGTCTAAGAAAGTTTTTTAAAATAAAAAAGCCCACCCAGAGTAGTTCCTGTAATTTCTGAGAAAACCAGATTCAAACAACAGCTCTTTCAGTGCCAGAACAGAGTCTCAGAAATGTCTTCTTTCCGAGGTGCACCCTCCTAGCAGATGTGGGAAACTTATTCCTTTCTCACATGCAAAAAAAAAGGTGTAATGTGAGTAAACTACCTGAAGTGGCCAGATAGTTTTAGATAGGAGGGAAGAAAACAGACCATTCACAAATATCCCAGAGGAGATATCAGCTCTTTTTTTTTTTTTTTTTTTTTTTTTTTTTTTTTGTCCATAGTCCTGCTAACTAGGGAATTAATGTGGGATGTGGGATATTCTGGTTGGATTCAGTCTTTTTCTGGAAAGGATTTTTACCCATATTAAGACTCCAATCAAATTTATTGTTGGATATTCTGAACTAAAAGTGTTCTTAATGAAGGTATTTCATTTTAGATGAATAATTGAGCAGGGTAGGAAGAATTAGAACAGAGGTTTTCCACTTCCTGACAGTGTCTGAACGTCTTTCCCTCCTTCCTGTTATCTGAACGATGATATTCTTAATTTGCTGTTGTTCTTTCTCACCTGCTCTCTTAATAGTTGTTGGAGTGGTGGACTCCAGGGGCACTGCTGGTTCTGGCCAGGAATACCTTCCCTGGCCAGGGACGATTTTGTACCCTCCTTTCTGACTGTCTCTAGGGAGGCATAATGGGGCACTTCATTTGTAACTAAGAAGTTCCTGCACTTCTAATATTTTTATCTACTCTTTTCAGTTAACCGTAGAAAATAGCTCTTGGAATGTAAATAACGTACGAATGTGCCCATGTGAACTCCATCAGGGCTATCATCTCAAATATGCAAAGGTTTATTAGCTGGAATATCTGGAGTACTTGTTCCCAAACTGGACTACCATTAAGTGTCTAGATAATGACACTCTTGAGCCCATCAATCACCTATGTATAGAATAAGCACCACCATCACATTGTTAAGACTCCCATTATCCAGAGTGAAATGGAGACACAATGTCTGTATGTCCTTTCTCTGTATCATTTTTAAGGACAGTTATGATGTTGTGAGTCAATTCCAGCAGGGACAAAATAGCCCTATTAAGATTTCTGGGTCAACTCCAACTCATCTCCAATCTAAACTCTGATCTTCTTCAAAAAGGTTTTGATTTGGCACTGATTAAATAAGAACCAAGTGAGGAGTTAATTAAGTGAGTTTGCTTTGATAAAGTTTGACTTATTCAGCTTCATGGAGCATAGTCACACAAGTTTTTTTCTCCCATTGCATTTCATTTTATTTGTCTAGAGTTAAAGTTCCGAAAGCAAGGAAAGAAAACTTTACATTGATTTCTAATCAATATTTTCTTTGCATCCCTGCAACCAACAGCACAGGGTGACAATGTCATATTCAAGATAAATGGGGTTTGAAAATGCACTTTTCCAGTATAATTGAAAACAGAGCTACACATTAAAAAAGCATTTGCTTTTCGCTGCTCTCTTGTACAGGGGAAATTGTCTGGCAGAATGAGTATAGGTCTGCGTTTCAAAGAGGTAAGTACCTTTCTGATCTCTCCCTAGGTATGGCCCCCTTCCAGCATGCTCTCTAGGAGAGTAATTTGCTGTATTTTTCCAATTCATCTGAAACAGAGTCCATCACTTTTTTCTATTTTTAAAATTTCATCATGAAACATTATTTTAAATAGAACCTTTTAAAAATAATTAGAAAAAATTCATTCCAGAACTGGAT